ACAAACTAGTGTTGAATCTAATTACTAACGTCACAAACATAAAGCTAAAAAAACTAACAGAACCACTCAAACATCTTTAAAATAGACATGGAATTATCAAAATAAATAACAGAAAAATATGATTAAAATATAGATCAACCCATTTGAGAACCAGACATGTGACGTTTTTTAAAAAAGAATTTTTTTTTTGTCCAAATACTTTCTGCTAGCGAAAATTTCTTTTGGTTAATTTGTTTAGCTCAAACCCATGGTAGTAGAGATTGGTGTCACATGAAACAGAAAATGAAATCTCTAAATTTAATATAAGGCAAATGTGATTAAAATATAGATCAACCCATTTGAGAACCAGACATGTGTCGTTTTCTAAAAAAGAATTTTTTTTTTGTCCAAATACTTTCTGCTAGCGGAAATTTCTTTTGGTTAATTTGTTTAGCTCAAACCCATGGCAGTAGAGATTGGTGTCACATGAAACAGAAAATGAAATCTCTAAATTTAATATAAGGCAAATGTTCTTTTGCATTAGCTATCGTTTTGTTAATTTGCCTTCGCCTAATTCCAAGTGGGTCAACATCGCTATCAGCAGCATATTTGAAGGCTCCAATACAATTTTTTTTTTTTAAATAAGATCTACTACAAATTTACCCTTTGTCTGTTCGTGGGTTAAGAAATATAGAAGTCTTCCTTTTAAGTAAGCATAAAAAAAAGTTAAGGCAAACCTGATCTATGTTTCTTCTTCAATTGCACTACCGTTTACTAAAATCCAAAACATTTTCCATGAAAAAGAACAAATAATATGCTGAGCAACAGCACTAAAAACAGAGTAGAATATTACTCTAAGAAATAGACCACCAAAATCATATCACCAAAAATATACACAAAGTGACGAGAATAAGAGAATAGAGAAAGAATGGAACCTTAACCGAAGAACAATCTTCCTTTAATACTCGCAAATTGAAAAACTTCCAAGCTTCGAGTTACACCGCAAATCATACAGAAATTGGCTCTGAAATCGTCAGCTGCAAACTAAAACTACGGACGAAAACCTCGAAACTGGCCGGAAAAGTGAAAAGAAAAATAGTCGGATTGGAGCTTGTTCGTTATTTTTATTTGATGGAAATTCACGAGCGAAATAGCTAGTACAACAGTGAATGTTGAATACTCAAACTGAAAACGAGATTGCGAACAGGACCGGCAACTTCGAACAGAATCGTCGACACAAAACTCGACTCCAAGAAACTGATGAGGGACGGCGCAGGTGTGCTTTTGGGAGGCAGATCGTGGCTGGTTCATGACTGTTTGTGCTGTATTTTTGTGGAGTTCATGGCTAGATTTGGGGTTGGATTTTGGTGGTGTTTAATGGAGGAAAATGGGAGGAGTTGTGGCTGCTTTCAACTGAACTTTTACAAAGAGGAAGGAGCTGTTTGTGTGGTTTAGATGGCTGAAGCAGTGGACATTTGGGCGGTTGCTGCTCCTTTTTTGTGTCCCCCCTTTCAAGGTATTCTTCTCCCCTCTTTATAAAGAAGAATGAAGGTGGTTATATGGAGATGTGGGTGTGAGTGTGGGATCATGGGTAGAAGACGTGAGCAAAGTGGGGAAAATGGGGCGTTGGGATCAGATTTTGCTTTCTCTTTTTTTTTCGTTAGTTCTTTTTTTTATTATTATATATATTTTTTTAATCCATCTTATTAAATAAAAAGAAAGTAAAATACATAGCTCTCTCTCTCTCTCTCTCTCTCTATATATATATATATATATATATATATATCAACCGACTTACTTTTAGACTTAAAGAAAACTATATAAATAAGAGGACCCAATATTTTTACTAAAGTTTAAATAATACTAAGAAAGATTCTCTAGCTTACTTATTAAAATTCTAATTAAAAGAAACTATATATATTTTTTGTAAATTTTTTTTTTCTCTTTACAAATAACAACAAAATATTCTATAAGTGTATATATATATATATATATATATATATACAAGAACTATTTACATTAAAATACAATAGAATTTGGATGTGGTCAAAAATTAGGTGTTCACACCTAGTTTCACGATAGGCGCCATCACGACCGGTCGTTTTTGGGGTTGTGACATCATCAATTATATGATTACTTCCTTCTTGTATTTTTTTCATTCTAATGAGATGGTGTTTAGTTATACATACTAGTACTATTCGATAATACTAACGTCCCTTTTGCCGGGTGCGCTACATCTTTAAATGGATGTAGGTAGTTCCATAGCAGGCAGTGCCGATCGCAGCTAGTGGCGCACCCTCTTTCCAGCTAACTTTGTGAGACCCACATCATTTTGGGGTCCTGTACCTTTTGTATCTTTTGTTCATCTTCTTATCATGTTTTGAGGTATAGCCGGGGCCTTGTTGCCGGCACTTTTGTAGTACTCTCTCTTCTGTATCTACTTAGAGGCTCCGCAGACATTATGTGGGTTGAATATGGGTGCTGGGATGGTCAACAGATTATGTTGTGTTTTGGACTCTTATTCTACTAAATCGTAAGGTGTTTGTATTTTGAAACTTAACAATGATGTAACTAATGAAATAGCTTAGTAATGTACTTGTATGATCTCCTATTGTCTAATTAATGAAAACATGCCTTCTCTTGATCGTAAGTGAGTTGGGTAGTAAGTGTCTAACAGGCTTGTTCGGCCGGGTTCACTCGGTCGAGCGCCGGTCGCGCTCCCCGAGCTTGGGGTATGGCATTTTTAATCTTGTACTTGTTCAAACACCGCAAATATAAATTGGGACGGAATGAGTATATCTGAAGTACCCAAATATTCTAAGAGCTATGCACAAATAAGCAGGAGCGGATTTATAGGCATGTGAACCCATGGTCCCTCCGCCAAACTAGGTAATTTGTGTACATATTTTTTAAAATTAGTCTAATATTATCTGGTAGTACCCATCCTCCAAAGAGTCTAAATGGTGCACTTAGTTGAATGCTGAGTTATTTACCTAGAGGAACATAGATCAAATCTCACTTAATACTTTTTCTTTTTCTCACCTTTTTTTATTGGTACACCCATGCTATAAAGCCTCTGCAAATACGTGTAAAGTTACAAAACCAAGAAAGCAAGAAGAAGCAGGTACAAGTCTCTTAAGCCCCTCAACGTGAGTAATACTAATAATTTAAACAAAATATTCGTAATGGTCCCTCCTTGTTGTTTTTCTATAAGAATTTCTGGGAACAATCTTTCTTTATTTATTTCCTTTTTAAGTACCAAGAATTTAAGTACACTTTTTATGGTAAGTCAAGTCTTCAACCTATCTAGTGTATCATATTGACTTTTGACGTATTCTTTTTACTTTTTAGTGTTATCATGAATAAGCTTGAAGCTCCTTATCTCTTAATCAAAATTGGCCTTTATCCGTCTTATATGTAATTTTCCTCTCTTTAGATTTAAAAAGAGTTAGAAATGATAAAAGAATTAACAAAGACAAATCACTGCTTAAGGGCAACCCAATTGGGCAACAGTGAGCTGCTTTATTCGATTAGTGTATAATATCTAACAGCTCAGTCCGCTAGTGATATTGCCCATTCTGGATTTAGGCCCTCACGGGATTAAAACGCGTTACTAAAGTCTAAAATATGTTTACTTATATACCCAACATCTCTCCCGTATTTTGTCGATGTGGGATTCGCCTAAGGTATCATATAATAATAATAATAATAATAATAATAATAATAATAATAATAATAATAATAATAATAATAATAATAATAATTTAACAAAAGAAGCAAAAAATTCAAATTATTAAGAGTCTCATATTAAACAAGTTCCTCAAAAATACTCATATATATGGTATGTTACAACCTAAGCGGCTAACCATGAGACGTATTGTCTAGTACTTTAGTACGAGAGACTTCCTGGCTTTATCTCTTGGGCTACACAATATTTAGTCGAAAAACGTGTATACTATGTGAACTTTTGTTATACCTTGTAAAGTTCTTCACTTTTCTTTCTCAGATCGGTGTGGAATTATTTGCCAAAAATGTTATGTGCACCTTTTAATTTCTTCCGAAGCATGCTAGTCTAGAAGCCTGTCAGTCTTTTTTCGATACGCTCTTTCGGTCCATCCTCCATCATGAACGTCATATAACTAGCTTCTTAATAATTTAACCTTTTTTTTTCTGGCTTAAAGTATTAATATCATGATAGTGAATCAGGGGTGGACGTAGCCTTTCGTCTACAAGTTCATCTAAACCCATAACTTTCGACAATAATGAGTATAGATATGTAGCTAAAAATCTACTACATTTTCAACAAATATTAAATTTGAATCTAGAATTTAACAGTATAATTAATTCAGTGTAAAGTTACGACTCGGTCATTAGCTTGGGGTAGGGTTGCACCAATCAACACGGTTGATGGGATTTGGTGCTTTGCTGTTTGCAGGTCGCTAGGTATGTGTATGAGTAGCAACTACCGAGTTTCACCAGAGACCCCGTGCATGTCACATCACATTAAATAAGGGCAAAACTACAAGCTCGTTTACATATTCGGCCGAACCGAGCAATTTTTACGTAATTAATAATAAAAATAATTCAGTAGAATTCCACAAATAAAATCTAGGGAGGATAATGTATACGCAGACCTTACCTCTACCTTGAGAACGGTAGAGACGCTATTCCGAAAGACACTCGGCTCAAATAATATATTTATATTAAAAATTCATTAAATATGTATAATATTAAATTTAACATCCCGTTATTAACACTTGAAGTCGTTATTTTAAAATTTAGAACCCATAAAATTAAAATCCTGGCATCGCTTCTTACATTAAATATTGATTAATAGTACAGACCTGACAAGTGCACATAAGCAGATCGATTCCTAGCTACAAAGTGAAAATAATATTCCATGTAAATTTCGGCTCAATTTCGTGGTAAGTACCATATGATGATACAGCAGCTGCATATCGTCAGCTTAATGATGCTATAAGCCTTCTATAAAAAGGGCTATTCATAGCAAAGCTTTCTTCACTCATTCATATTGTAAGACTCAAAACCTCACACTTTGGTAACACCAGGTTAAGTTAAAAATTCAATGCACATATAT